AAGTTTTATGGTGTTTTTTTATTTAAGGGTCTTATTTACTTAAATGAGATTGCAACTTATATAATTAATTAGTGTTTTGTTATTTAATTTTGTTCAGAAATTTCGAAAGAACTGACTTTTTATATTTGATAGTTCTTTGACTACAATGAATTTCGTAATTATTATTTATTTTAATCTTTGTGATGCTTAACTAGCTATAAAAACAGTCTTCATCTAATAATTCAGATCAGAATCAAAATTAGATTTTCCTTTTCTCTGATTCGGATCTGTTTCCAATCGTAAGTTTCAAATTTCAACCTCCAACTTTTGTTATATTGTATCCGCTAATAAAAATTATCTCCGAGTTTTCCAATGTTTTATTATTTGCATTAATTACAACAAATCCTTTCCAGGGACTTTTATCGATAAATCACTGATAATATTCCTGGAAGAAAATCAATTCCTACCAAATAATTCGAAGCGCCAAAACAAAACTCTTTCAAAAAAAAATTCGATAAAGAAAACCACACTTTGTAATTCATTTATTGCAAATATTTTTAACTGAAATACATTCAAATGCTTGCTGAGCTCTTCTCGGCGTCATGCCCTTCGGAATAGAATCATTTTATTTTATCAAGTTTTTATTTGTTATATAGAGTAATGTTTGTACAATAAGAATTATCAGTAATAAATGATTACATCAAATCTCTGTATGTTTGGGGCAAAAAAAAATGGCCAAAAAGCTTAGCATAATTCTGGAAATTATGAGATAATAACGTAAGTTGATAATGAATTTGGAAGTCATTTAAATTCTGATTGTTTATCCTTAATTAAATAATCTCAAATAAATTAATAACGGCACAAATGTTTTGAATTTTTGAAGACATATATCTTTAAAATTGAAAAAATTTTTTGAAATTATTGTTTTAGTAAATAATATCAGACGTGGACATTCATCTTTCTTTGACTGTTTCTAAATGAGTTAATTCTTTAATAAAATTAAGTTGCACTAATCATTACTTTGAATCATCGGTGTAAAATGTAAACTTGCAAAATCGATATAAATTTTGTCAAGAATTGATATTTCGAGTTTATGGAAATTTTTAGTTTTTGTAAGTATAACCTTTGCGATAATGAGGTCTATGAGGGCCTTTTCTTAACTGGGACAATTTTTACAATAATCACAAAAGTAATTATTTTGAAATGAAAAAAGTTGAAATTAAGTGTCTGATCTATCATATAACATAACTATCGTTAATAACAAATAAATGATTAAGTATAAACTTAAAGTGGCTCGATTGGAAGCATCTGTGGAAAAATATTTGTTGAAGAAGTGCTGATGTCGTTTTGACGTGAATTCGGAATATGATTTTCCACTGTAGCAACTTTTTTCATTGCATTGATCAGTGGCACAGAAGCACCAATGCTCTATTATATCGTACTGAAAAGCTTTTATGAGGCAATAAAATTTCTAATTAATCGAATGAAATTTATCAGTACTGTTGTAAATTTTTCCTAAATTAATAATTTTTATAATTTCAAATCTTTTTTTTGAAAGAAATTAATGCTTCTTCCTTTCAATTTTACAAGTCGGCAAATTTATTTTAATACATTTTAATTCTCGACATTGAATTTCACTCCTGATTAAAGTTAATATGCTTAGTGAGGAAAGATTTCGAGATGAGAAAATTTATTATATTGTTGTACATTTGCTATAAATCTGTCAGTTCATATTATAAAATAATAAAAAAAAAGTTAGATCTATAAATTTTGAGAAAATATTTTTTCACGAATTGTTTACCATATCAAATTCAGATGACAAATAATTGCCGATCTGAGAGACACGTGAATGTGAGCCAAGACCGAGTTGCGAGTGTTGATCGCTGGTTAGAAATTGCGACGAACAACCACGTACAGTTCCTGGAACCAAAACTGCTGAGGAAAGTTTGCAGAGTTTGAATTGATGAGTGCGTGAGAATTGGATAATGAAAATTTCGATAACTGATAGAAAAAATTTTATTTGATTGTTATTTGCTTTCTCAAATTTTTTACACCTTTTTAACAGAAGTATTCAAAATGCTGACTGATTAAGTTAAAAATGGTAATTAGTCAGCGATATCTAATTAATTACCGTTTTCAATTTTCTTACAAAGTTAAAAATGTAATCTTACAAAGTTAAAAATGTAACAAAGCAAAAGCTGAACTTTTCCAATATTAAATTTCTGAGATTTTTTTAAAAAAAGAAAGAAAAACACTTGGGAATTTAAAATGTAATTATTAAAAATTGTACAAATTATTTAAAACTTGGAAATATCAAATGTAATATCAATCAAATCGTTTTATTTAACAAATTTTAATCATCCCTACCAAGAACAGTGATCATTCCATTGCCTCGATTGGTACCATTCAAATACATGATGAAACAGGTGGAAGGACAAAGTTGCGTTATTTCAGGTGTATAATCTGATTTAGCACAACTCTGATCACTTGCTGTAATACCATAATTCCGCTTCAAAAAGAAATGTCGCCAATGCCAAACGATAAAATCATTAGCACATGAATAACATCTAATTGCTTCCACAATAACAGTACCCGACTGGAAATAGTACAGAAGAAGAAGAATGAATACGGGCAGATTGTGCGGTAAAAATATGGGCGTAAAATATGAAATCATTGATGATCATTAAATGCATAAAACATTGATATTGTAAACGTTATCAATCATCTTTGATTATCATCCTTCTAGCAATTAATAAATAATAATCGCAGTAGTAATATTTTAAATGCGATTCTTCCTTCAATCATTCTTTCCAACGGAAATTTCAGCATATTTCATACTTTAACTTTGTTAAATTTCCAACCTGAAAATCTTGATTTATTTATTTGAACCGTCAAAAATTCATATAGAAATGCTAATACTTAGAGAATTGGTAATATCTTTGCCTTTTCTGATATATAATTAAAGTTGATAAGATTAATCTATCGTTAAAATAATCTTTTCACTATTAAATTAATCTCCAAATACCATCTTTTTCATCTAGCAATTAGTAAATAGTAATTGCAGTGGTATTATTTCAATAAAATTGAGAACGTTAAAAATTATAGATAACCTTTTCATTTGCATAATACATTAGTTAAATCATGACAACTATTATACTTTCAATATTCTATTGCTAAAATTATACAATATCATGAAGAATATTTGAAAAAATTTAGTAACTTAATTTTGTACAATAAATTTTTGATCGAGTTAATCATAGATAGCTAGATTGATAACGAATTTTACTTTAAATCGTGTAACAATATTGTATATCATTTGAGTTCCTTTGCAACTATTAGTGATATATAAATTAGCATTACCGTTTCCCTGATTATAATTGCTTCCACTTCAACAGATCACATTATGTATTTTCCAAACTGAAGGAAGAGAATTAGACTTGTGAAATTTGATAAGAAATTGACCTTTCATAGCCTCTCATTTCACAGATTACAAGCAGCTATTATACTTTTAATACATCTTTCGTTGAAATTACATTTTAAACTTTAAGGCATAAGAAGAAGACAATAAATGAACTAATAGAGTTGCTTCAGGAATTGTTAAATATATATTCCTCCTTCCTATACAGTTCCCAATATGAAAAAAACCTTATCTTTTACTTCCTGCACATATAATTAAAAGGGAAAAATTTGTTCTCTTAAATTTCACTAAATTTAATGAAAACTTCAAATAATTCTATGCGATTTATTTATTTCTAAAAAGTTCAACTAGCAAAATTGAAAATGTGTTGAGCCAAGATCAGAAGACATTTTCTTTTTTTGTAGCAAAAATTTTCCTACTCGCTAATAAATTTATATTATAATTCATTGCGGAAGTAAGGAAACTCCACAAATTGCTTCAATTTTAAGCGCATAAAGCAAAAATGAAGAGATATTGGCGATTCTTTAATGAATAGGAATTTGATTAGGAAAAAAGAAAAATTATTGTTCTTTTCAAATCGATAATGGGATTTGTTTTCAAGCATCTGTAATACGGAAATTTCATCTAACTTCATTTTTTCAAGTTTTGTGCTAAAATTTTATCTTAGTTTTTTGCTTTTTTTTCTGTTTTAACAACTATGATGTCCTCCATTTTTATTTTTAAGAATAAATCACAAAAGAAATCATTCATTTTTCAAGCTTTCTTTCGTTTAAACTTAAATAATATTTTCATGAAAAACTTTTAAGCAGACATTTTAAGACGAAGATATCAGCCAAAATTAGCAAATAAAGAGTCGCCTTAAAAAGTTAAGTTGCCAACCATTAGTTTAATTTGTCTTTAAAAAAAGCCGATCAATCCGTTCAAGTGACTAAGTAAGAGACATGCAAATATTGACTTAAATACCAAGATTAACATTAAAAATTGAGTCAAAACTTGTTTATCGGATGAGAATGCTCGAAGCGTTAAGTAATATTTTTTAGTTATGGAGCAAAAAAAAACTGAAAAAAGTGAGCTGAAAAAAGTCATCAGTAATTAAAATACATGTAAACATAAACTTAGGTAAGGAAATATTTTATCATATCCCATTTTCATATAATTCAGATTAATCTAATTTGATTCTTTGATTGCAAGTGCCTTGCAACCAAGAAATAATTGCTTTTCCTGATATATGCACAACCAACTCTCACCTATGATAAAAATATTCCCACAAACTGCTTAGCTATAAAATAGGCAGAGCGGTGCTACTGCTTTTGTGAACAATTCTGATTTTAGTTTATGGATCGGAAGGTCGTTTTCTACTGTGCAGACGACTAAAATATGATCACTGAGCTTAAGGCATTGAAGACAAATGATAATCGATTCTATGTTTGAGAGCAAATTCGAGAGAAAAAAAATCTATGTTTTCGATTTCTCAAATAACCTATCCATTTGTCGTCTGTTGGCATATGTTCATTTTTTAATTAATTTTTTTCATTTGAAAGTATAAATAATTTTGATAAAACTTATAAATATTATACAATTTCTTATTAAATTTTTTCAACTTCCGAAATATTTTTCATTTATTTCCCTAAAATTAAAAGAAATTATTGATTACTTGGAAGAAGGAAAGTTTAAAGCTTAATTGAAATAAAAATCACTTATTTGGAAAATGTGATAATAATATAATTCATATTTTTCTTATGAAATCAAAAGCTATTTGAAAAACTTATAAAATCATCGGAAGAAAATTTATTTCATTTTCTTTATTTCTACTTGAAAATATTGATAAATTATTTAATTAGTATTGAGATTTGTCAGATTATTTATTCAACGAATAATTCCAACAGTGCTGTCATTCTAATGCACTAAAAAAAGCCGGAAATTTTTCAATCGAAATTGAAATGAAAGGATATGAAGTGTGTTAAGTATGAATTTAGTATGATATCATGTGATAATAACTAATTAAAAGACCTTCAAAGTGTTTGTCAATTTCACGTGGTTGATTTGAGAACAAAAAGATAATTCTTACAATATTTTCAAGTTACAATTTCAAAAGAAAAAAAATTGAACTAAATTGCTGAAAATTAAGTTACAAATAAGTGTACTTAAATTTGATTAATTCACAATAGATACTAAATGAATCTAATTGATCGCAATCATAACACTTATACAATCAGCATATTATTAAATAATAAATTAGTGTAGCTAAGAAATAAATTATTGGTTTTATTCCAACAACATTAATTGTATTTTATTTCATATAAATTCACTTATTTCAATAATTGAACAATTTCTTACTAAAATTACTCACAGAGATGAATAATTTATTTGACTTATTTAATTTCTTATTCGAATATGATTTGATAATGGAAGATATTATTTAATAATTATCACTCCTAATGTGTTTTTTCTAACTAAAATAAATTGCCGAAAATACTTTCATAAATATATGGAAAAAATGAAAAAAAAATTAATAAAATTCCGAGTGAATTTGTTGGCCATTACTTACTGTAAACACTAATTACTTAGACAACAACTTGAAAGAGTGTTTTTCTTCTAATTCTCTCGGATTTCCCATTCATTTATTAGTTAGGAGTGAAATTTTGGAAAGGAAAAATAAAGCAAAAGAAAAGTGCACCTATTAAAAAAAATAATGTAAAAAATGCGCAATTATCTCTTTCAAAATAATAACAAATTCGATTTTACAACAGTAAAAATATTACAGCATTTCATATATTTTTGACCATTGAAAAATTTTGGCATTATTTAAATTATTACAAATATAAACAGAAACACATAATTATTTCTTCATATATTCTTGTCTTTTCTACATAGCATAATATCTTTTGTATTAGATCAAATGATTTCTAATCACTTCGCTTGGAAATGGAATTAAACCAAACAAGAAAAACCAATTTATATGACCCGATAAAATAGGCATTAATTAAACGACAGAAAAAATAAATAAATGTTGTAAAAGTTGAAAAATCATGCATAAATTATAACATTTCATAAATTCATCCTTATTATTTCAGTTTTTATAACAGCAATATGTCATCGTTTAATTTCATTCATTAATAATTAGAAAAAAGAGGCAGATGCTATCTGCTTGTGGAAGAGAGTAAAGTAATAGGTAAAGAATGCTGCTCTCTTTGAAAGTAACTTAATTTATCTCTGGCACTTATTGATCCTCATCTTAAATAGTGCTGCTTTTATATAATCATTGAATTTACTTAAAATGAATGCAATTGCAATAATGATGTATGCAATGAGGATATTTTATAAATATTTATATATGAAGTAGTACGTAAATTATATTTATGTCAAAATGGATTAAACTTTAAATTAAATTTATTGCTAGTAAAGCTTTAGTCGACACCATATAATTTGGAAAAGTAAAGAGTAAAGTGAATTTTGCGTAAATTCATAACAAAATCGCACCAATTGCAGAAACTGTTCATTTGCTGTTATTATGAAAAGATAATATGATTTTTTAGAGGGAGCTAATGTTATTATGATTTTTTAGAGGGAGCTAATGCTATTACTAAAAGAATTCAAATTTGATTGCTATATGGATCATAATCAATGCTTGTAGTAACAGAGTGATAAATATCAGAATGATATGCACATATGATCAATCTGTTGATCTTTTAGAGTGAGAATTTGTGAGAGAAACTTTTAAAATTTAATAATTTGAAAAGACTTATTTTCTCGGGACTGCTTGACAATGGACTGGGAAAAAAATAGATGCCCATGCTGATCTAAAAATTATAATTAAAAATTGGCTGATAATAAAGACTGAAAAAAACTAAAATAAAGTAAATTAGAAATTTATTGGAAAATTGATTGGTGCATTAAGTAAAGAGAAATGAAGAACTGAATATTAGCTGCAAGAATTAACATATCAATTGCTGAGACAATGAACAGAAATGCGGAAGAGCAAATACAGCCGGAAATTTGGTCTTTACGGATGGAGCAATAATGAAGCATGCAAGGATGCCCTTCACTTTTCATTTCCTTACTTATCTGCTAAGTAGAAAGAAATTTGCTGGTATTAAGCAAATTCAAGCTTAAAAAAATAATAATATGAAAATTAGTCAATGGATTTTCTTTTATTCATCAAAAATATATATATACATATGTAATCCATAGTTAAATATTAGTGATATGATTCTAACAATCATCAAATTTAGATTTATTTAGCTATTTGTAACATAAGCCCAAAATTTAATTTAAAATATCTCAGAAATTAATTAGCATACATAAATTTGTTATCAAATATTTCTTGTTAAACAAAAAAAAAATGAGCGCATTATGTTCGTAGAAGAAAAGCGGAATGGAAAGAAGATAGAATCACTTCTGTGCGTACTAAGTTGCTTCGAGAATCAAATTATTAGCACTTCCTGTTGTTTTGCTTATTTTTTTCTCTCCCCTCTCCATATGGCATATATTTCAAAACAACTGTTCTTTACTTTTTTTTAATTTTTTTTTAAATTATACATGTTTGCAATGAGCAGTAATAATTCATGTTGTTTATTGGAAGAAGAAAATATGTCAATTTCATCGTTTTACTCATCTGTCTGCACTTTTTCAAAACTTTTTTTATTTTTAAACAAGACAAGAAATCATCATTTATTGATATTTTGCAAGGCAAAGAGAAAAGTATGAATTGCTGAAAAACAAACAATTTGAATGAATTATTTTACTGATAAAACAATGATGTAATAATAAATGAAGACGTGTGAAGTGAAGAAATAGTTCGCTATTGAGATATTTCTACTTCGCGTAACTATTAGCGATAAAAGCATTTTAAGGCCAAAAAGCATTTCTATTTTATTTTGCTTGGCTCATTCTTGTCTCCTTTAAGGACATCTTATGTTTCTTGCTTAAGGCCTAATGTAGTCGTTTTTTTTCCTTTCTAACACAACTCTTCTCGATGATTTTTATTACTTTAAAATGTTCAGTGCGTCCAAAATATTCCATTTCACTTTCGTTCAATGAAAACAAATAATCACCGCAAACAATTACCATCGATAATAATGGTAATTGGATAATCAAATGTTTAGAGTATAATTTTACAATGATTTTTACTTGTTTAATTGAAAAATCTACTAAGTCAGCGTTTTTTACTTTTCATGCAAATGTTATTATGCATGTATATGTATATGTGTAGGAAGAAGACCTACCTGTTAGCTACTACAAACTGAAGGCATAATATTTTATTAGCATGCACGTGTGGTTGCTGTCACCACGGTAACAAGTGACATTTACTTTGGAAGAAGCAATCTATAGAAGAGGGATGATTTAGTCGAATTTAAAGAGTTTTTTTGAAATCAAAATTAAATGAAACCTTTGAATTAAAATAAACATATGCACTGATATTTGAGCTAATCAATTTGATAAATTTTTATCTTAAATTTTTCAATATCTGAATGAAAAAATGATGTATAATCAATTAATCGAAAAAACAGATAAATCATTGAATGGAAGGGAATGGAAACAATGAAAGAAAAATGAAATTTCTGAATTAAATTAATCTACATGATTACCTTACTGCAAATTTTTTCCCGAAACTTATCAGCAAAATTATTTGAAAAAATATCAACTTGTGTCAAATTCAATGCATATTATAAACAAAGATGTCAATGAATTTGAAATAGCAAAAAACTCAAACAGTTTATTTAAGCAAATGCAAAAATCAGCGCTTCGTGTAAAATCAAAAATGTAAAAAAGAAAAAGTTAGCTAAAAATTTTCATTCAGAAAATTGAAAAACTTTTTTGGAAATTAAAGTTAATACTATGACAAGCAATCTAGTAGTGCTCTTACAGAACTTAATGAGCTTGAATTAATGCCAAAATTTTGATATAAATGGTTCAATTACATTATAATTTGAAGAGACATGATATCATAGTATAATTTTAAAATTTAAACATACACCGGAAAAGTAGTCTCAATGTAGTTCTGAAAATAGGTGAGCGAAATGATCTTTGCTACTAGCGATTCACGTCTACCTTTCAAAAAAATTATGAAACTTAAGTAATGAAGTTCTTGAGGTCGCTTTTGACAAGCAGTTTAAAACACTTTCTTAACATTTGAGTGAAAATTAAACTGTTTATGCAAATATTGAGAAGCGCAAAATAAATTATGAAATCAAAAACTTTTCGTGCTATTTACTGTTCGTGCCAGATTATTCTCAGTCACGTTTTATTTAATAATGATCTAAAATTTTTGTCTAGTGGTCACCAAATTTCTTCAAAGATGCATTTTTGAATTATTAAGGTCAGTTTGGTAATTGATCATCGTAACAAAATGAATTATCGCAAAAATGAATTTTGACTAACAGGCATTAATCTTTGACAAATGGAGCTGATTGCGGAAAAACTAATAAGAAATTTTTGTATGACATTCAAATGTGTGTGTGTGCGCATGAATTAAATGGTTTTCGTAATAAAAATGATGAGGCAAAATTAAATTGCCTTAGAAACTAACGAAATTACTTCCGAGTGGTCGCATTCTCTCTTACTTCTATTGAAGAGGTCAGGCTGATAATGCAAGTTTAGATTTAGCAGCATAAAAAATAAATTTTCTCTCTTTCAATTTTATTTATATCTGATTTAACATAATTATTATCTAATATTTCTTTCAAATTTTATCTCGATGTATTTTATACAAGGAAATTCGTTCAAACCAAATGGATTCAGAATTCGAGGGAAATTTCTGTTAATGAATCATATAAATTCAAATAAACTTACACATACAAATACTTAGTTTAAACAATGCTTCATTTAATAATAAAGTTGTTTGGATGAAAAGAAAAGCGAAAAGTCAATAAAATAATAACAAGTGCGGAAGGGTTAATAACTCCACCCGTGTTTTGATTTATTTAAAGCCAAAATAATTTGATGGAAAAAAAGATGAAAGAGAAATATTTGCAGGATCTATAAAAATTGGCAGAAATAGACCAACAATATCAGGTTAGCAAGGTTAATTCATTAAGTAGTATTTCCAACATTCGTCATCCTTCTACTTTACTTTTTAATTTCTTTAACATTTTTAGGATGAATTTATAAAAAATGATTTCATATTTGCGACTATTTAATCGGTTAAAATTAATGAAAAGCTCATTTATTGCATTTGAATTACTTTGCTATTAGCTGCACACTGTTAGTTAATTGTTAGCTTTAAAAATTATAATCACATCATCACTTTTGGGTAACTGCTAATTACAGTGAGTGGATAATAAATTGCAGAAAGTTTAAACTAATTAGATAAGATTGCTACGAATCTAACGATTAAAGCTAATTGTCCAATAAGATTGATTCATGTTTTATTAATTGAATGATTATTTAATTTAGCAACATTAATCCATCTTATAATATTATGAAATTATAATGTTGTTGAATGAGATAATATATTAAATTAAAAAGAATATATTAAATTTAGAGCAATCCGCGAACTTATGGAAGGATAATGCAACCGAGTAACGATTCCGCTTATGGCAGTTATAACATTTATGGAAGATCAACAGAGCCAGTACAAACTGATCGAAATTCGAACATTGAATTTTACGGCACAAATAGGTAAGTAAATATTCAGGTGTACGTACTGAGAGAGAGAGAGAGAAAGAAAGAGAGCAAGAAAGATGGAGAGAGAAGGAAGGAGAAAGAATCTATTTTGTTTTTTTTTAATTTGTTCAATTTAATGATAAATTTTTTATTGACACAAAAAATTTAAAAAGAATTTTTTGATATATAAAAATTTTTGATATATGATTAAAAGTTAAATTTGTTCAAATTTGATAGTGAACTGAAACTTTTCAAAAAAGTTTTTTTTTCTAAATTTTTTGTATTAATAAAAAATAAAATTTATATTGCATTGCATATACTAAATTTCCTAACATTTAAGTGTAATAATGCATTAGAAAGTGTATTTAATGGAAATGAACTTTTTTTGAAATGCGACAGCGNATTTTCTTAAAATTTTTGGTTATTTAAGCTTGCATTAAGTAATGTTAAACTTTCCAGGCCATCAATTTATGGACAGGAACAACAACTGCAACCGGTATATGTGGGCAATTTGAGAAAACAGCAACAGTCGAGAAGCAAGGAATCGTGGTCTCATAGGTATCGGGAGCCGGAAGGAAATTATGGGCGAAGATACGGTATGGAACTTCAGCCGGATATTCTGATGAAATCGGACAGCAAAAGACAACGAAGACGCGGAAGACGACACTCACATCACAGAAGACACAAACATCGGAAACATAAACATCACCATTCAAAAATT